TAACTGAACTGTGTGAAAGCAGCTCTTCTTATTTAATTTACATATTTATTTTCAGCTGCTTGCAATGCATTCCCAATGCGTTTTTTATTGAAAAAAATTGGTTTCTGGTGGGTTTCTCTGCTTAGGGTATATAAAAATGAACATTTTTTTAAAAAAAAACTTGCTCTCTTTCCTTTAAAAATCACTGGAAATGCAGGAAGGTTTGCTGCTTCTATTTTTCAGTTAAGAAATAAGCTGGTAATTGATCCCCTCATATTTCAGTAATATGATGAAGTCTCAGTAACTCCTATGGAAGCAGATGTGTCCCCCACCCACCCCAGTCCAGAATGAAAGTCATCAGATTTACAATTGGGCTGTCAATATATAATTCCTGTTCTAATAAACAGATGTGAGTAAGAAAGAACAACCAATGGTCCTTTCTACCCAACAATAGAAATGGTGGCATGGCATCCACACAAGCCATCAGTCACTCATTTAACTTTTAGTGTATTTACCCACGTCCATGTGCATTGTGATCTTGACCAATTAAAAGCACTTCTGTGGGAAATGATGTAGTGTTGAGAGTGCTGGTACTGATACTTGGGAGATCTTGGTTCTAGTTCCCACAGAGACATGGATAGGTTGAATATAGGCTAGTTGCTCTCTTTTTAACTTACCTCACTGGAGTGTTCTGGAATTAAAATGTAGAGAAGAGAAGATATAGGTAGGCCACCTTTTGCTCAGTGAATGAGAGGTGGGATGTACAGTAAATGGAATCATTAAGTGATCAGGAGCTTGAGAAATTGATTCCTGAAGATCTACAGTGAACAGTCTCCACTTATTTGTGGGGTGAAAGATTGGTCTGTGGTGCTTCGTTTGTTATAGCTCATTCTAGTCTCTTTAACTAGCAGTACCCCAGGTCCCAATTTTAAGACTCAGCTCACACATTAGGCAAATACATTAATCTGAATTCTTCTTCTTCTTGTTCTTCTTCTTGTTCTTCTTCTTGTTCTTGTTCTTCTTGTTCTTCTTCTTCTTGTTCTTCTTCTTCTTCTTCTTCTTCTTCTTCTTCTTCTAAATATTTTGTCTATGTATTTACCCCTTTAGCTTTCAACTTACACTTATAACACAGCTTAAATCTAAGTTATTCCAACACCATCAGAACACCAAGGCCAATATTATTACTTGGTTGTTTAATGTGGAATGGCCAGCAGTGTGTGAATGAACAAACTCCATTGATAAGCCTTCTGTCAGTAGCTGGACTAGAATGCCCAAATTCCCAGTCAGCCATGAACCTCTCACTGGATTACCTTCAACTGGTTATGATCTCTCTCAGCCTCCAATATGCTACAGGTTGTTAAGAAGATAAAATGAGTCAGGAAGTGTGAAAACTTCTATTGAGCTGGATCTTATACTGTCTAAGCTGGAAGAGCAGAATGTTTTTAGCCTTACAGGTCACACCAGTTAACTGAAAACTTTATCTTTCTGGTCTGAGCACACAGGCTCATTAGATGGTGGAAAATAAAGAACCACCAAATGGTTGATATCTGAGATTCCATCGGCAAAATCTAATCTGTGCGAGTGAAATTGTGGCAAATTGCCATTGATTAATGGGGTATTGGTTGCATTCTTGAGTACCAGGCTGTCTGTGCAATCAGGTCTGTGCCTAGAAAGCTCCATCAGCATCTGGTTAATTCATAGCAGCGAGTTTTACACTTTCATAAACTGCCAATTGGATTCCAGCCTATATTTTTGAATGCAGATAGGAATGAAGCTCGCTAACCAGGGTGGATAAAAATCCATGGCTTTTCAAAATCAAATTGATTTAAATCACAATTAAATTTTTTTAAAAAATCATTTTTTAAAAATTTGAATTATAATTTTTTTAAAAAATGAAATTGTGATTTAAATCATGATCATGATTTAAATCAAATGCATCCTGTCTCCAGTTCAGATTTCCAAAGATGATAATAAACTGTAGTGCCTGAGTTCGGGATGCATAATGGAACTTGCAAAGATTTCTAGAAATGGTGTGTAATTAGGACACAATTTGTGAAAGCCTTCATGGCATAACAGAAGCTCTGGTTTTTCTGACAAACACCCACTCTTAGGGCTAAGTAGAGCTCCACAAAGGAAAGACCTCCAGCAGCCCAGTTCCAGAGAGACAAAACAAGAATAGAAAGTGAGTAATGTGAGCCTTTGAGACCTGTCAGCGTTTTTTGGTTGACACAAAAGGGGCCCCCACACAGCCCATGCATTTTCTGAAAGCAAAAAATGAAAAGAACTAAAAACATCCAATAGATCCAATTCTGAAAAGGAGTGGGAACTCTTGTCTCTCTTTCATTTTCTAGAAGCACCAGCAAAACAAAACTGGGACTTCAGTATGTCTCATTCCATAGCAGTTGATCTGACCTAAAAGAGCTTGGAAAAGTGGCTTTGTTGAACTCCCTCAACCTCCAGCCAGTATGACCAGTAGTCATGATGGCCAGTGGATTCTGGGTGCTCAAGTAAAAAAAAAAAAATCACTTTTCCTAGTTCTGAAAACTGATGCGGAATACTCAGTTCAGCCTCTGATTTTAGTATGTCTTTGTGGGGAATTATTTGGGTCATAGCACTAAAATTTGCAGTCTCAACAATGGCATCTCTGGTAGCTAATAAATAGTGACAGTACCTTTTGCTTCCACTGTTTATAAGATGGAAGTGGATACCAAGCTAGAACTTAAGAGCCGAAGACAAAAAAAAAAAATACATAGTTTTCTGTACTTTGTATTGTTTTCGGTATAGCCATTACAGTCTTTAAGGTATCACGAGACTTTTTTTTCATGTTTTCTGTAACAAATTAACACAGTGGCATTTAACAGTCTTTGGGACTATAAGACTCTCAAGAACATTATATTGGGGAAGCTGTGTTGTAACATCATGCCTTATGAAGAAAGGTTTTGGTAAGCAATAAAACCTTACACAGTGGTTTTTTATGACTTTTTATTTGCCTCAATAAAGATAACAAGAACACTAGTTAGGGGCTGTAGACCATGCTAACACAACAGAAAGCTTAATGCTCTGCAGGCTTAATTTTGAGCCATAGTTCTCTAAATCTCAACTACAGAATTAAAATCCATTGGCAGGGTTCTGCTCTAAAAGATGGGGTCAAAGCTTGAAAAAGTTAATTTCCCATTTGTTGGAGGATTCTGGAACTTGTAGTCCCAAAACTCTGGAGGAAATGCCCATGAAATACGCCTATTTAGTTATTTCAAAAGGATTTTATTTCTTCAAGCCTTTCTTTAGAGCTGGAAATCTCGGGCAACGTAGTCAACATATTAGGAATACAGAAAAGACATTCAATACTAAAAATGGATGTTTGTTGTGAGTCTTCCAGTAACATTTATGTGCAGTGATTTATCAGAGTCTGAGCTTGAGGGTTTGGCCCCCAGAATCTTCATTATACCCTTGGCTTCTCTGCTTCTGAAAGCTGAGTCTGAATTAGAGGAGGAAATAAATAACTAGGCTTTCGGAGAGCAAGGCAGAAAGAATATGTCATGTCAGAATTAATCTGTGTAATGCCAAGAAGATGTGTAATTTCCTTCTCTCCTCATCTACACCAAGGATGTCTGATATGGATTTGTGATTCTGATACCACAAAATCAATTCTCTTCCCTTCCCTGCACTTTGTCAGGCTTGGCTTTGTCCATTTTGCAGTCGCTCTTCATTTTTTTCCCTCCTGTTTTGCTTGTCATTATATATGAACATCGGAAAGCTTTTTAAAAGGTGGAATTTTTCTAAAAATTGGTTGTCGTTGATATCGGAGTGATTGGGCCTGCTTTGGGAACAGCATGAGTGACACAACATGGAGATAAAACTGCACCTGTGAACACCGATAACATTCAAATGATTCTTGGCATAGCTCCAGTGCTTTAAAAAAAATCTTCAGCTATTTGAGTCTATAATTATGATTATAAACTGTTTAACTCTTTGGAATGTACAAAGGACATCCCAGGATCGCTTTTAACCACATTGCTGAACGTTTCCAAAAATGGAAATGCCTGACCGAAATGCCTAACCACTAGAGCCTGCAAATGGATAATTTAAATTCAGACTTCAGAAAATTATAGCTGTAGCCTTGCAGCAGTAAGTAGCTAATACGCGAAGTAATAGGAACTGGGCTTTGAGTCTGCTTCAGGGTTATCCAGTCCAAGTCTATTTTAAATGTAAAGAACCTTAAAAAGGGGACATGAAGTTTAGCCACTGGCAGCTGGTGCCTGGACAGCAGCCTGAGTGGGTGCACAGATCACCCGACCACAGTCTCTTTAACTATCATGTGACAATATAATACATTTCTATTTAAATGATAACACCAACTTTTAAAATTGTGTTTATATGTAAAATTAGCATTTGCACATTTTATGTAAGTTTGATTTCTCCTCCTCCTTCACATTTCCTCTTTCCTGGGCACCCTGAATATGAGGTTTGACTCCTGAAAAACACCTGGAAGATTCCAGTGAAGCACAGGCACCTTCTGTTTCCCCTAACTTGCCCCATTTTTGGTAGATACATTTGGCAAAATCCAGTTGCTTAAGGTCGTCCAAATAGTAACTTTTGGTCCAATCCTCTTCAGTAAACAAACCGTTCCTGCCTTGTCTCTTGAGGAGTGCATACACACTGGCTTGTGTGCATGTGATCCAAAAATTCTAGCAGGACACTTTTTTTTTAAAACCAGGGAGGAATGAATCAAAAGTTACAATTTAGCATTCACTAAGCAGCAGGATTTCTGCCATTGACAGGACTAACGGGCAGAAGTTGTATGACAAGCCCTACCATTAGATGAAAGAAGATAGATATTTCAGGTGCTTAATATTGGATGTCATGATATAAACAAAACCAAATGGTGTTGCTGTTTGCATGTGTATTTAAGCAGAGTTGAGTAGGGGTGAATATCAGCAGGGGATTTGTATATGTGTAGAAAGTTGGTGCTTCCTTTCATTTCCTTCAGTCTTATATTTCTTTCTCTGTTTATTTCAGATACGTAACCTAGCCTGGCAAGAAGACTGTTTCCTTTGCACTGTGGAAGTTACATCTTGTATATGGCGTGGTTAAGGTTGCAGCCTGTCACCTCAGCCTTCCTCCGGTTTGGGCTCATTACGTTTGTGCTGTTTTTATATGGTCTACAGGTGGACGCGGGCATGGGACTTGATTCACCCAGCATAGGGCATAATGCTACATGCTCAGGTTCTTCTGAGTGCAAGGAGGGTGTTATCTTGCCAATATGGTACCCAGAAAATCCTTCCATGGGGGACAAAATTGCCAGGGTTATTGTTTACTTTGTGGCAATGATCTACATGTTCCTTGGAGTGTCTATCATTGCTGACCGTTTCATGGCATCCATAGAGGTCATCACTTCCCAAGAGAAAACCATTACAATCAAGAAACCCAATGGAGAAACGACCACCACCACCATCCGAGAATGGAATGAAACTGTTTCCAATCTCACTCTCATGGCTCTGGGCTCCTCTGCTCCAGAGATCCTCTTGTCACTGATAGAAGTCTGTGGTCATGGATTTGTTGCTGGAGACCTGGGGCCGTCTACGATAGTTGGCAGTGCTGCTTTCAACATGTTTATCATCATAGCCATCTGTGTTTATGTCATTCCTGATGGCGAGACTAGGAAGATAAAACATTTGAGGGTTTTCTTTGTCACTGCTGCATGGAGCATCTTTGCATACATCTGGCTGTACATGATCCTTGCGGTCTTCTCTCCGGGTGTGGTTCAGGTGTGGGAAGGCCTGCTCACCCTGGTGTTCTTTCCTGTTTGTGTCATCCTGGCTTGGATAGCAGACAGAAGGTTGTTTTTCAATAAATATGTGCACAAAAAGTATCGTACCAACAAGCACAGGGGCATTATCATTGAAACGGAGGGGGATCACCCCAAAGGGATCGAAATGGATGGTAAGATGATGAACTCCCACTTTCTGGATGGTCACCTCATGCCTATGGAAGGGAAAGAGGTGGATGAGTCCCGCAAAGAGATGATCCGAATTCTTAAGGATCTGAAGCAAAAGCACCCTGAGAAAGACTTAGACCAGCTGGTGGAGATGGCCAATTACTATGCCTTATCTCATCAGCAAAAGAGCAGAGCGTTCTATCGGATTCAGGCTACTAGGATGATGACAGGAGCAGGAAACATTTTAAAAAAGCATGCTGCTGAGCAAGCCAAGAGAAGCACTAGCTTGCATGAAGTGCGGCCCGAGGAGCCAGAGGAGTTCATCTCAAAAGTCTATTTTGATCCTTGCTCCTACCAGTGCCTGGAGAACTGTGGTGCTGTCCTCCTGACGGTTGTCCGGAAAGGAGGAGATGTATCTAAGACGGTTTATGTGGACTATAAAACCGAGGATGGTTCTGCCAATGCCGGAGCTGACTATGAGTTCACAGAAGGGACCGTCGTTCTGAAGTCAGGGGAGACTCAGAAGGAGTTCTCCATAGGCATCATTGATGATGACATTTTTGAAGAAGATGAGCATTTCTTTGTGCGCCTCAGCAACCTGCGGGTGGTTGAGGCTGAGGAACCACCACCTGAGCTCAACAACTTGCCATATCCCAAGGCCATGCTGGCCTCTCCCTGTGTGGCTACTGTGACTATTTTAGACGACGACCACGCAGGGATCTTCACTTTTGAGTGCGATGTGATGCATGTCAGTGAAAGCATTGGGGTAATGGAGGTGAAGGTTCTGAGGACCTCTGGTGCCCGAGGTACAGTCATTGTCCCGTACAGAACAGTTGAAGGGACAGCAAAAGGAGGTGGAGAGGATTTTGAAGATGCATATGGGGAGCTGGAGTTCAAGAATGATGAAACTGTGTAAGTACCTGACTTCAATTTCTTCAGAGCCAACGTTTCTTAACCCTGGAATTTTCTTCCATCATAGGTAAACTTGGGCAGCCTACAATGAACTGTCTTCTCTCCCTCTCCTTTAGTCTCTGCATTTACCTCTTCCAGGCAAGAACCCTACAGCAGGATCTAGTCTCTTTTCCTCTCCTTCTGGGATTGAATAAATGGGTTGCAAATGTTATCTGAAAAGGCCTCAGGTTTTCATAGGGGTACTTATCCCTATTATGACAGGATTAAATTCCAAAGTGTACTAAAGTCACAGTCCAAAAAAAAATCTACCATGTGTTAACTGCCACATGTGCAATTGAAAAAAGTATATGGCTCCAGGATAGGATTCTTGGCCAGTAAACCTTGAATCTCTTGTACTGGACTACTTGATTTGGGGGTGGGGAACAAGTGACCCATGAGCTACATCCAGCCCCCACTTGCTATTGAAACTAGTTACTAAAATGGCTGCCATACTGCTAAAATTTGGTAGCGCCAAAGCTACCAGTGACCAAGTCCATTGCAAACTTTCACTGTTGAAACAAGAATATGGCTTTGTAAATTTCCTATGACTGCCCAGTTACATCATGGCAATCTGCTATATCTTAATGCTTCATTATAAATTACCTCTGTTCTTCAGTGTGAAAGAAGCCGCCCTTTCAGACGAAGAGGCTGTGCTAAGTCTAATGTGGCAAAGAGCAGAGCTTGGTAGAGTAACTTCTGTGGATGGCAGCTCCAGGAATTTTTCAGCAAGAATGGCTTCCTGGAGCCCAGACTTTATAAGTAGTCCTATAGAGCCACACGGCTATCAAATCAACACAGCTACTGTTTTGCATTTTGCTTTCCTTTGTAATTTTAAATGGCTACTTCCCTTGTTAATACTAGCCATGCACATGCATTTGGTTCACTAAAGTGAAGGCGAAAAGAATGGTGGAGTAGATGGCAGCATACATGGGAGCCAGGATACCTCCCTGAATACTTCCATACAGTGACTGCCACATACCCAGTCCCTAATCTAAAGAGTTTCTACTTCCATTAAAAGAAAAAGAAAGAAAAGAAGTACAATTAATTTTGTTAATATCATGCAGAAATTTCTACAGTGGTTCAAATAAAGTGAAAAGTCCTTTCAAACCTCCCAGCTTCATATTGGAAGTTTGGAATATGAGAGGGTGGGACTACGGACCTCAGCACATGATTTGTAGTTTACAGGTATACTGTTCCCCCCCTCCACCTTCTAGCCTTCAAACGAGCAGGCTGAAAACCTGCTGCATAGGGCTATTGTGTGGACCCAATTAACAAGTAGATGGGAAGAGAAAGATTTAAAAGTCAGGAAATAGAATTTGGTCTGATAAGGAGATATTATATAACAACAAACCTTTTAAAGAACTGTTGACCAGAGATTATTGCAGGAAGTGTTTTCCTTTTAATTTGCAAATGGGCAAAGATCGCTTTCCCTTAGCACATGACAAAACAGAAGAAACCATCTTCAGTCTAAACATGGTTCTTCCCCTTGAAGGAAGAAGGGACTTTAAAAGCACAAAGTTTTTTTTAGGGAGGGGGAATTATTTCTCTAAGCCAGTTTTCACCGCTGTGGGAAGGAGATAGATCCTGCCACCGGGTCTTGCTTGTAGCTTCTGAAGTTCCAGTATGGTCAAAGTTTCCTCACCCATATTTTGGGAGATAGACTAGGAAAATATTGTTGTGCAGAAGAATAAAAGGTAAAATTATCTGCAATGTTAGTCTCCTGTGTTTGGATGAGTATGATTTTGATGAGTGCCTGATGTGTAAGAAATACTAAATAATCCTGCAAGCTGCTTAGACATGAACTATTTTGTCTCAAGCTGTTCCTATCTGCTGCCAGTGCTGGCCAGCTGAAGCTCTGTAGCTGTGCCTATGCAGTTGGAGTCTTGCCTCAGCAGGTTTACAATTACAGTGATGGGAAACATTTGTTTTTTTCAACTACCACTCCCAGAATTCCCCAATAACTCTCAGGAATCTGGAACCAGCAGTCCAAAACACAAATGTTTCCCATCTCTTCCCTGTTAACTAAGTGTGAAACTGTTATTTGATTCGGTCTTGGTCACAAAGTCCGAGCCATCCCCACCATCTCTCTCTCTCTCTCTCTCTCTCTTATGGGTTTGGAACAGAGCTAGGCAAAGTTACTCTCTGTAACTTCAGATTGCAGAATGCTCCCGGGCAGCAGAGTCTGGGGACTTGAGAGACTTCCAGCACCTTTAATGATTAACAAGTTTTGTTTAGCATGAGTTGTTGTTGACCCCGAGTAAAACTTGTTAGGGTATTTTCACTGCATCTATTATGGTCTGTCTCACACATGGTTGCTCTTTCCCCACAGTGGTGTTCACTATCCCCTTGCATAAGCAGAAGTCTGATTGCTTCTGAACAAGGCAATTGCAGGTTTGCACATCTGGAAGTTGAAGCGTTATGTGTGCAGGATTTTATATTCTGCATTTCTTCAGCAGGCTTTTCCCCTTGGGCGGAGCTGCTAGGTACCAGAGCCTTTTTGGTGCAGGCCTTTTTTTCCCCCCTGGGATGCTGTCTCAGGGAAGTCTTAGAAGGTCTGCCTTGAAGTACTAAGCCTAGTGGAAACTTTCCCCTCTGCCCATGCTTTTTTTCCTTGGTGTTGGTCCTCAAATAGTCTGTCACCTGCTCTTATTGTAATCTCCATCTATCTAACACACATCATTTGTCTGTGTTAATACACTCAAGTCCTTTCTGAAGAAGTAGAACAATTAAGTGCACTAGATTCTTAGATCTTTAAAAAAAACCCTTAATTAGTATAATAGTGCAAGAGTCACTTTTGCAACACTGATAAAGGGGCAAGAATCTCCTGAGGGGACCCACAAACGGCACATATCTGAGCTACTCTTTATGGGGCATGGTTTGCACACTTCGCATCATGCCCTAGGACCATTGGAGAAAGTTTGCATTTTTATTGGAAATTTTAAAAATCAAGCTTGCTGTGTTGGTGGGTATCTAGTTTAAATCTTTCGTCTGTGGCAGCTTTCCAAGCATATCAACCGCAAATGAAGTGAACCCATCTATTCCCCCAATGCCAGCTCTTTGGTTTCATATTGATCTCAGACCAGACAAGACTTGGATGAGGAAGATCAAATTGGATTTTTAAGCACGCCTTTTCCAAGTCGCATGTCTGCCGCTTGCAACCTGAATCCTTAGATAGAAAACGCTTGTTGAACTCACTTAAGCTGGTAATCTTGATTGACCTGGAAAATGAAGTTAAGAAATTGGTTTTCAAACTGCCATTCACTGCACCCTGGTTTTCCTTGGAAGTTGATCAGAGGTTCCGTAACGAGCAGATCAGCAGACAAATAAGCTTGTTGAAAGAAAACCCAGTGATCCCATCCAGTCTTCTTCAGTGGACTCCCTCAGAGCAGGGCTTTGTGACCTGCAGATTGAAAATATTTGTAACTCACATTAAGGGGGAAAATGCCAAGATCCTGCTGAAAAATCAGAATGGTGTTGGTGTGTGGGTTTTTTTCTCCCATTTTTCCTGTTTGGTTTTTTTTGGGGGGGGGGTTGTTTCTTTGTGATGTTATAAATGTATCATCTAATTTGGATCTCGGTCTTCCAAATCAGTTGGGCCACCCTTTATATGTTGGAAGGCAAACATCTGCAATCAGTTATGTAGGTTCCTTGTGTGGCCTAAAAGCAGGTTTGTGCTTGGTTCTAAATTATGCTGGGATACTACACAAATATAGATGGCTAAATTAGAGTAGACCTTTGGTCTAGATGGGCGGGATAGAAATCAAATCAAATCAAAATCAATCAATCAATCAATCAATCAATCAATCAATCAATCAATCAATCAATCAATCAATCAATCAATCAATCAATAAGGCTTCCTGCTGTAGATTTTCACCCATCAATATATGGAAGGCAGTGGGATCTGTAATACAAATGCAGCTAGCACACCTATACGGTGCTTTTATGTATGGTGAGGAATGACAACGTAGTTCTTCTTTTATTGCTTGTGCTGTTTTTCAGTTTAGGACAAGATCTGTGTTGTTGGTCTAGAACAAGATCTGACCGCATACTTTGGTATCCAGCCCTTGCAGAATCTGCTGAATCTGCAGAATAGAATCCAGTTTCTATCGCAATCCTCTCTGAAGTCAAAAACGTGGTGCAGAGAATTTTGTGAGCCCTTAGAACAGGTTTTTTTTAAGGGCGAGGCCATAAAGACAGGATGGAATTGCAGATGCTGGTGGAAGCAATGAGATTCACTGTGTTGCAATATAAAGTAATTTTATACCTCAGCATTTTGGGTGAGTAGCCAGTAGTTTTTGGTGTTGAAAGCAAAAATGTTCATGATTCAGCTGAAGCTGTAAAGCTGGAAAAAACTGACACCCCCAGCTCAGTGGACAAATGACCATCATAGTGGTGTTCTTTCTGTGTGGAATTGTGTTTGATCCATTTTAATTATTCACCTGGAAAAGTCACTGGAATCTCATGGAAAGAATGCAATAATCCAGATTGTGTGATTGAGTATGAACAGAGTGCCATTGTGCTGTAGGAAGGGCTTTGGTGGCGAGCAAGTTTCCTTGAGTTAGTAGCACAGCTTTAGAGTGAGGATAGTTTGTCATATTTTTGACAGGAGCATCTGAACAGATGTGGCATGGTTTTACTACCTCTTTGTCTCTGGAATATATAAGTGTCTGTCTCTGCATGAGAATGTCCAGTTGCCAATGCCATTGTTTAGGAAGATATTAAGAGCTTTGGAATGTGGAGTGCTCTATATGGTCCCCGTCTCCCGCACCCCCATTCATGGTTTTGCTTCCTTGCCACTTATTTGCTCCTGCTGTCTTATCTCCTCAGCTTCCCATCAGAGTGAAGCTAATTTCAACATTATAAGGATTTCTGGGACACCCATTGTCAGCAGAGCTGTCAAAGAATGATCTCCCGTAGCTTTTTCAGGAAATCACTGATTGGCACAGTAGTGCCCTCAGTTA